GTCTCCTGGCTGGCTGATGCCAAGCTCTACATGCAGCTTTATCTCATGACCGTATGACACTGGCAGATATGATGTATTATTTGTAAACTATAATACTCATAATGGCTCAGGGGGCTGCAGGGAGCAGCACCGTGTGCTCCCAGCCAGATTCCCCCTTGTTACAGGTGCTGCTGTTGGCAGGGCCAGCACATTGTTTAGGCACAGGGCAGGACGGGCTTCTGCTGCTCAGTGGCTGTCACTGACATCCTGGCCAGAGCTGTTCTGCCTGCAAACAGCTGTGCTGAATGTTATTCATGTATTTATGTTAAACCACCCACAACTGGGCAAGCTGTGGAGAAAACACCTTCACGTGGGTGCCTGGGACAGCGCTGTGGATGTGCAGTTACTGCCTGGTGTCTGTTCTGGGTTTGTAACCACTTTGCTCCTTGTGGAGATGAAAAGATATACTATTTTTTTTGGTCTCAGCTGATCCCAGGCAATTTCTTAGAAATTTGTCAGGTGGTTTAGATGCTCTCCTTGCTGCTATCCTGTGTGTATCTCATATGCAGTGGAATGTAGCACCAGTCCTAGGCTAAATGTGATGCACCCCTAGAAAGTGAGCAGTATCACACTGTTCACACCTTGGAACTCAATTCCCAGTCCTCTGAACCTTCAGTCACATCCCATCTGTCTCCTTTTCCTCCCTGATCCTCCAATCTCTGTCTCAGGGGTTGCCCAGGAGATAGGCAAACCAAAGCCTTGGCAGGCAGCTGGAGCAGATACTCATCAGGGCCCTGTGGTGCTTGTGTGTTCTGGGTGCTGGGAGGAAAGAGAAGCACAACACCATTGTAATAATGAGGTTTCATTCAAGATAAGATCAGATTTTGTCTGGTTGCTGGACAGGCCTTGCCAGATGAGCCAAGTTGTTCTGTCCCATTTCCTGGTGTCCCCATTTCCTTACTGTAATGTAAACTTCATGCTCAGAAGAAGAATGCCTTGGCAACAGCTCCTGGCAAAATTCAAATCTGCAGTCAGCGTCCCTGGCTGGAAAGGCCTCCACCTGTTCACTGCAAAGTGGGGAAGCTAATATGCCATATCTGCAGATTTTAGAAACTGAGTACTTCCTCCCTATGGAAAAACTGCTAAATGCTGGTCCCCTGCCAGGACCTGGAGGTACACCATGAGCTGGGGATGGAGACTTGCCCAGCGATGCCTGGGATTTAAATCCTGTAAGCCAACTTTCTTTGCGTGTTGAGTGGGTAATTCTGGGCACTGGATGCGGTTTGCATCAAGGACTGCTAAAACTGTAATACATTAGTACCATTCCAGAAGCCCTTGAAGCTTATCAACTGCCAAGAAAAATACAGGGATAGCAAGAGATTAGCCTGCTGAAGATCCATGATGAGAGGGAAAGATACTCACCCTGTACTCCCACCCTGTCACATCACCTTGAAGGTTGTGCTAGAGCTTGTACAGAGGCAGAGGGTAAGGAAGGAATTAAAAGTTTAAAGACAAAATTGCTATGCTCTGTAGTTAACCTTGCTTTTAGCCTCTCCTGCGTGTGGACCAAGCCAGCTGAAGGTTAGCAAGGCCTGGAATTGAAAGAATTAAGCCTATCCCTCTATTTCTCTTCATGCCTGATTCCAAGGGCAGTTCAAGAGAGGGAGTATTTCCTCACATGAAGAAACTACCCATCAAAAAGGCAGCATTGCTTCTCAACCAACTCTTTTTGACTGTCTCCCCTCCCTTTGGTGTCTGCTTTGTGATTCTGCTCACCGAGGTCGTGGTCCTTACCATGTTCCTAAGGAAGGACAGATCAAATAAGAGAGGAGAAGTCTGCATAGCAATAGATCCTCTCGGGTTACTAAACTTATCCACTCTCCTAAATTTAAGGTTGGAGGATTAGTAGTACTTAAAGGAGTACATATCTACCCCTTTACTTCCTCTTTGTCCTCTTCTCCTTCTTCCAGTGACCTCAGGTAACCCAGCTGACTTAGCCTGAAGGTGAGCTGGACCCCAGTAAAGCCATTTCTCCTGCAGGCTGGCTCATTTTGGTAGATTTACACAAGAAAACACACAGTGGAGAGGTACTGGAGGAGCATCAGCAGTCAGGGCTCTCAAAAATTTTAGGTGGACAAATGTGAGAATTTTGTTCTTTACTGTGTGTCTTGGTTAAGTGGTGGCATGTACGAAACTATTAATACCATTAATGTATGTGCAGGTATGAGTTCCCTGATAACATCAGTGTTAATCAGTTGATACCTTAAGAGTACACACAGAAATACATTGCAACCCCTAAAAGTTGTTATTTAATGTGTCATAAATTTTTAAATTTATTTTTTAAACTTTTTTTAAATTTATTTTTTTAAACTTTCTAAAGTTCTTAAAGTCCAGAACTTTTTTAGTACTTAAGTTCTACAAGTTACCAATTTTACTCATTATCCAAGTTGTTGACCTCCTAATTCTTGGTCTGAGTTGTGTTAAACAGGTCATACATATCATGTTAAGATCTGAGAAGTGTGTTCTTTTAGGGTGTATGATTAAAAAATTATGTAAATAATCCCTTGCCTGATAGTTTCTTACATGACACCATGAAGAGATTTTCAGAGCTGAGCAGGAGTTACTCAGTACTTTTTGTCAAATGCTGGTTTTGGAAACTGCTTTTCCACCTCACTTTTTCAAATCTCAGCCAGTGTAATTAGTTGCATGTAATGATATAACAATGCATAAAAATCTTGCATTTTGGTATGTGAGATAGGCGAGGTCATATGTGTCACTTAAAAAACTGTTCATGTTACTCTACTCTGTCTCAGTTCCATTCCTGTGTGTCATCAGCTTGTGCTAAAATCAATATTTGCCAGGCAGTGTCCCATGGCTGGATCACATATGTGGAACAGCATCTTTTCCTTGATCAGATACCTTGAACAGCAGCTTTTCATGAACTACAGAAGATTGGAGGAGGGTTATTTTTCTTACATATTAAAGAATATTCTGCTGCTCCATTAAGGATACTCCACCTTTGCACTTGGCTTTCTCTTGGTAGTAAGTGCAGACAGCAAGTGTAGAATGGTCCTGGCTCCCTTGGGAGTCCCTGGTGCTGTCAGCACCCACAGAGCCCTGACTTCTCATCATCAGTTGCTTCCTTAGGACCCAGGAGAGGCAAATCACTGCAGGATTCAGTGTAGGAACAGGTGGGCATTGATCCCATTATCCTGCTGGTTCTAGCATGCATTCCATCAGAACCAGCAGGCTGGGGACCAGCACATAACAGGAGGAAATTTAAAAGAGTGGCAGGGCTCTTTTATTCCTTTAAACAGGCATTTAACTTTAGAGTTCACTTTATCCAGTGGCTTGAGCCCCTGAAGTAAACGACTTTGAGACTTCTGCTTGTGCTTTTTTGGCCAAGGTTCAGGTAAACCAGTCTAAAGTAGGGTCAGGAAACACACTGGGGACTTGAGCCTGTTCCTGGGGGATCCTTTCCCAGTGCCATGCATGTTCCCTGTGTTGTCACATATTTGCCAAGTACCTGCACTAGGAGTTAGTTATCTGGAATGTGCTTCCTTGGAGGTTTCAAGGCTGGGTTTGTGCATGGCTGCTTGTGAAACAAGCAAATGGAGCAGTGATTGTGTCCTAAATGGGCAGTTTGGGATTTGCACTGAGAATCCTGGAGTGTCCTGAGTTGGAAAAGCTCCACAAGGATCATCCAGTCCAGCTCTCCTTGCAGTAAAAATAGCAAGAGCTAGTTGTCCTGGTCTAGGACATGCCTCTGCTTTGACATGAGCAATGTAGCACAGATGAACATGTTGATAAACCAGGATTGTTTCTTTTTGGGGTGTGTGGATATTGATTTGAGAGGATTTCCTCATTTTTATTCCTTGTTGGGACAGGAACGGATGGATAGTCAGTGCTGCTTGTTTTAGATGGATCACCTGGGAGTCACCTGATTGCTGTAAACAATAGATATGCCCACATCAAGCTATGCAAAAGGATCAAATGTTGGGATTTTGGAGGAATTCTGGACAGGGTGTTTCCCTGTCTAGCAGTGAGGAGCTGTGTTTCTGCCTGGGAATGGACGTGTAGTAAAAAGCGATTCTTGCACCTCCTGGCCATGCCCTGTGCTTCCCAGTACTCATTTGGATTTGTGTATGCCTTGAATAGCAGCTTTCAGTGAGCTGTAAATGCTGCACAGAACGTGCTGGAGCCAGGAATTTGAGGAAGGAGGAATTCCACCCAACTGAACTGCTGAGACCTGAAAATCAAGATAGTTTTTCTTCTGGCAACTTCAAAGCAGGGAGCTCTCTGTAAATGCAGGTTTGGGAATGACTGCAGCAGCTAATCAAGGGCTGTCATTCTCTTCAGCAGCTCATGGGGCTGTAGAACAAACAGGAAAAGTTTCCTGTGTTAGGAAAACAAAGAGATACTGCTGAATAAAGAAGTTATTAAGTTCTCTAGAACTCTGCTTTTGCAATGATTACCTCTGTAACTGAGCTGCTTTAGTCTGGCTCCTGGAGCTGCTGCTTTCCCTTCTCATTCCTGCCCTTAGTGAGGCCTCATTGTGTTCACTGGTACAACTTTTATTCATTGACATTTTGTGGACCAGTATAATCTGGCTGTAAATACACAGCTTGCCTTGCTTAGAGGGATTCAATGCTATACCTAAAACTAACAGAGATCCATCATTTCAGCATCCCTGCTGTGGGGAGGGAACTGCGTGGGAGAGAGGACAGAGATCAGTGAGAAAAAGTGAAGTTTGAGCAAATTCAGAGGTGGTCCATGTAGGAACTTTGAGTTACAATTAATTTTTGAAAGTTCTGAAGTTAATTTGTTTTAGTTCACAAATTGAAGCTACCCTAAGCTTTAAGGTGTGATTGCTCACAGCATGGAAAGTTCAGCCAGGTATTTGCTTCCAGTAAGCTGCCAGTGAGGGTTGTATGTTTGATTTAACACCAACACCATTTTTTTATTCTCTCTCTTCCCTTCAATCCTTCCACCCCTGGACATCCCCTCCCTCTCTCCCTCAGGCCTGTATTGATGAGAACCTGGACATGGTGAAGTTCTTGGTAGAAAATGGAGCCAATGTGAACCAGCAAGACAACGAGGGCTGGACCCCTCTTCATGCAGTGGCGTCGTGTGGCTACCTGAACATAGCAGAGTGAGTGAGTTTGGGGCTGTTCTGGGGATTTAAAAAACTTCCCTGTGCCTTTCTATTCAGAGCACGTACACAGGTGATGAACACTCTGATCCTAGTACAGTGCTTTGGAAAGCAATGCTGAAAATTGATGCTTTTCTCTTGGTATAGAGTTCTGAAATTTTGAGGATTAAGGTGAAGCCTTCAACTGGTTGCCTTTTGCTGCTGCCATTAGACTTATGATTCATTAGACACTTGAGCTAAAATGCCAAGCAAAAGGAAATGGGACAGTACAGGGATGTGTAGTGAAGGAATTCCTCCCTGTGAGGGGGGTGATGCCCTGGCACAGGTGCCCAGAGCAGCTGGGGCTGCCCCATCCCTGGAAGTGCTCAAGGCCAGGCTGGACAGGGCTTGGAGCAGCCTGGGATAGTGGAAGTGTCCCTGCCATGGCAGGGCTGGGCCTGGGTGGGCTTTGAGGTCCCCTCTGATGCAAACCAGGCTGGCATTCTGTGACTGCATTTTCTTACCACAGACAGACTGGTGTGAGCAGCGCTGTGGTTAAGCGGGGACTTTCAAGTATATTCACCACTAAACCTCAAGTGCCACATCCACTCATTTTTTGAACACTTCCAGGGACAGTGATTCCACCACTGCCCCGGGAAGCTGGGCCAGGGCCTGGCCACTGTTTCCAAAAAGCAATTTCCCCCAATATCCAACCTGAACCTCCCTTGGTGCAGCTTGAGGCCGTTTCCTCTTGTCCTGTCCCTTGTTCCCTGGGAGCAGAGCCTGATCCCCACCTGGCTGCACCCTCCTGTCAGGGAGTTGTGGAGAGTGAGAAGATTCCCCCAGAGCCTCCTTTTCTCCAAGTTGAACAGCAGCCCTTTATTCTTTACCAGTCATATCGTGCTATATATTAGCCACAGCTACCAGAAAGTTTCCAAAAGTTGAATTAAGATAACTATTTCTTAAATGCATTGAAAATAATTTATAAAACCAGACAACCTCAGCCTCCTATATTTGTGTGCTTAAACACATTTACTTTTACTTCTCAGAATTTTACTGATTAAAAGATGCAGAAGCCAAAGAAGATGTCTGTTGTTCTTTAATGAACTTTTGGTAAAGTTATAAGAGAGCAAATTTAAAAATCGATCATACTTGATGAGGCTTTTTTAAAAATCAGTATAATTTCCTTTTCTTAAATATAAGAAGATAATCAACCAGATTAATGCAAGGAAAGGGGTATTTAAGTAACTATGAAGAAAGAAAAACTGTGAACCTCTGAGCAAGCACCTTGGTTTTACAATACCATTTTTAGTCTGGAAGTTGGCTAAGAATGAGGTGTTCATTTGGTAATTGCAGTTGCATGAGAAGGGCAGATAGTTTGTGGTGCTGTTTGGTTGCCTGTGTGATTGCTCTGAAGCCAGCACTGGAGGTGTGACGTGCTGGCCTGGCTGTCCTGGCTGCAGGTTCCTGATCAGCCACGGGGCCAACGTGGCTGCTGTCAACAGCGAGGGGGAGGTCCCGTCCGACATCGCCGAGGAGGCGGCCATGAAGGACCTGCTTCTGGAGCAAGTCAAGAAACAAGGTAAGGGAGGCCTTGAATATGTGAGAGTTGGGACCCTTAAGAGTTTCTGGATGAGAATTCTGCTGCCCTGCTGCCTGTTGGTGAGCAGATCTGAGATCTGGCCCAGGAAGCAGCAGACAAATTTTGCTTTCAGGACAATGGAGCAGATGCAGGAGGTTTGTGGTCTCTGTCCTTGGGATTCTTCAAAGCAAGACACCACAGTCCTGAAATCTGATTCATCAGATCTAGTCACTTTTAAAGTGAGATGTAATTTTGACCTCTGATATCAATGAAAGGTCTTGTTTCACTAAGGGTTGATAAAACCGAGGTGAGATTTATGGGACTGCCAAAGGCAGGGACCAGGAAATGAATATTCCAGGCCTGGAGTGACATGCTTTATCCTGATCTTTGCCTAAGTTTCTTCTGTCATATCCCCTTTCTCATCAGATGTGCCTGGCTGAGAGCTGCTCTCCAGGCTGTCCCTGCACAAACATCCCTGGCTGAAGAGTAGTTTTGTACTGATGTTAAAATAAGGAAATGCTTTATCAATCTAAAATTTTCTTCATGCTCAGGGAGTTCATTTGGGAGTGGTTGAACGTCTGCATGCATGTGTGAGAAGTTTAAATCATGTCTGTGAATTTCATCAAGAATGTTGGAAAAGGAACCCAAGGAATTCCTGGAACTTCTATCCTTGGACATAGTCAAAGCTCAGCTGCATTTGTGTCTGAGCTGGTTGGTCTGGCTTTGAAGTCATGCTCCCTGGAGCATGTGTTTGGGCTACAGACCCCAAAGACTCTTTCTGGTCTGGATTATTTCATTCCTGCAGCTTTTGGGGGGCTTACTTGCATCCTGGATTGAATCCAGTCCCTCTGTCAGATACATTCTGACACATGGTGGTGACTTTATTTTTTAAGGTATAGTTAGGAAGGAATCAGTCCCTCGCTGCTTTGTCACCTGTGTTAATGTTCTAGGGCCACCAAATTTGTCAGGCACACCTTGCCTTCAGGGAAGCCAGGTTGGCTGTCACAAATCATCTCCTTGTTTTCCATGGGCCTTAGCATGGTTTCCAGAAGGATCTGCTCCATGATCCTGCTCTGCACAGAGGACAGGCCAATTGGCCTGTAGTGCCCCAGGTCTTCCTCTTTTCCCTGTTTAAAAATGGGGATTATGTTTCCCATTTTCCAGACCATGAGAACTCCACCAGCCTATCACAACTTCTCAAATACCAGAGTGACTCAGACACTTCCTCCAGCAGCTCCCTTGGGACCCATGGGTGCACCTCACTGGGTTCTGTGGACTTGTGCACCTTCAGCTTCCTGAAATGGCAATAATGTGGTTGAAACCTTACAGGACATCCAGGCAGTGATTCTGCCTCACCTGCAAGTATTTTGCCTGACACTTTTTTGGGATTCTGCTTGCATTGCCTAACCACATTAGTGGCATCCTGCTATGTCCTGAAACAACCATCTGTCTCCACCGAGAAGATTTTCATCACACACAGTTTAAAGGATCATAACTGCTGGAGGAAATGGGGTTGAACTTTAAATAAGCATCTGTCCAGCTCTGCAGTCTGTCCTCAGCAGGGGCTGTGAGCAGATGCTTTCTGCACACTGTAACAACAGCTCAGGTGTGTGCAATTCCCCTCCCAGCCTCCAGCCACTGTGCCTCCAGAAATTCCTGAGCCAAACTGCCTTTCTGTGTACTTGTGAGTGCCCTGTGGCTTTCAGTTTCCTGAGCTAGTGCAGCCCTCCTTGGGAACTCCAGCATGTTCAGCAGTTGTGTGTAACAGCTACAAACTTGTCTAGTCCTAGGTCTGAAGCCAGTTTATTTCTGATCTTTGCAAAATCCTGCAATAGTGGGTCTGACAGCTCAGACTCTGAGTTATGTGTTTTCCTTGGTTCTGTTTTAATCCTAATGCCCCATAATTTAATTGGCAATCATGTCATTCTTTTACTGAAAGTATTAATCAAGGACACTTGTTCTTCAGGACCCTTCTTGATGTTTGAGACTTGTCATCTTCTAATTTGTGTGTTTGCCTGAGTCAGAGAGTTCTACTCTGATTAATCTTGTTTGGATCGGTATCAATATTTGTGATTGATATATTGTCCTTCTGTGATTTCATTAGTGTGAAAATTCCACTTAGGAAAACAAGTCAAAGTGGGTTTTACCTCTTATTGGTTTAAGGAGTTGACGTAGTCTGTCAGCCAGACACCTCCATCTCCACATCATCCCCCTGCCTCTTCACATCTCCTCCTGCCCCTATGCAGTCACTTAGGCCATCAGAATAGATTTCTTCTGACCTTCTAATGCCAGAATTATTTCAAATTGTGTTTTGTCAGAGTCTGGGGGTTTGCTGCTCAGTGGAATAGCTCAGTACTTCTCTCAGCATGCCTGTCATGGGTGCCCCTGGAGCAGTGCAGATCCCTGTGTGTGTCACCTGCAGTGTCCTGAGTATGGAGTGAGCACAGAGCTGGCACCACCGTGCTCTTGGGTACATGTGAGGCTCCTCCAACCTTCTCTGGAGATTACACCCTCACTGCAGGTCAATTCAGTCAGTCAGATTGTTGTTCATGACTGTTGTTTCAGTCTGGGACACAGCCAGTGTAGAACTCAATCCTTCTACCCTTAATGCACAGCTGAACTTTTAGTTAATTGGACTGGGTTGCAACTTGCCCAACTTTCAAAATTTTTAACTCAGTTTTTGAAGTCTCTGTCAGTGACACAGGAGCTCTCCCAGTTCATAGAAGAGGCTTCTGCTGATTGTTCTGTGGAAGATCAGAAATAGTTTACTAATATTTTATAGCAAATGGAACATAGGGTAATTGTAACAAGTAATTGAGAGCTTTCATCTCTTGTTCATCTCTTCTTCTGTGCTTCACCCCCTTAGGTGTAGACCTAGAGCTGTCAAGGAAAGAAGAGGAGCAGCAAATGCTCCAGGATGCCCGGCAGTGGCTGAACAGTGGGAAAATTGAGGATATAAAGCAGCCTCGGACAGGAGCCACAGCTCTTCATGTTGCTGCAGCCAAGGGCTATTCTGAAGTCATGAGGTAGGAGCTCCTCCCAGGGCTGATGCATGAAATTAAGGCTGAAGAAAACATCTTGCTTTACATTCAGAGAAATTTGTCCCATATTGAGATTTTCAGGCTGCTGTTTCTCAAAAGGCTCTGTGGTTTTATGTGTCCAGCCACAGGTTCACCAGAAATACACAGGGACTGGAGGATTCCCTTTCATGCCTCCAGGCTTTTTTGAAGTAATGAAAGCTTTTTGGAGAGTGAGGCATCAATTAGGAGGTCTCTAATTTTTCTAATCATGAGGTCTGATTTTTCACTTCTAGAGTAATAGTTTTAGGACTAGCAAGTTAAACAGTATTAGAGGACAAAAGTATAATTTTGACAAACAAAGTGACAACACACACTGCATAACAGTGACAAACATGACCAGTCTAGTGGGAAAATGCAGTGTCCACCCCTGTCTCACTGTCCTCTGCCCCTTCATGCTATTGCTCCTGCAGTGACAGAGGGATTCCAGCACCTGACAGCTCTGCAGCCCTGGCTCTAACCAGATTATTTTGAACATAAACTTGCCCAGTGTAGCATTTCTTGGTAAAAAACATTAATACTGTTACAGGTAATGTCAAATTAGGCTTTCCACCAATAAAGCTTTCTTTTCTGCCCTTTATGTGTGGCTGGAGCTGCCCATGAACATATAGCTCATGGAATCCCAGACTAGGTTGGGTTAGGAGGAACCTTAAAGCTCATCTTGTCCCACCCCCTGCCATGGGCAGGGACATCTTCCACCAGCCCAGGCTGCTCCAAGCCCCATCCAGCCTGGCCTTGGACACTTCCAGGGATGGAGCAGCTGCAGCTGCGCTGGGCAGCCTGTGCCAGGGCCTCCCCACCCTCACAGGGAGGAATTTTTACCTCCTATTTAATCTAACTCTGCCCTCTGTCTGTGTGAATCTATTCCTCCTTGCCTTGTAAATAGTCTTTACAAGGTGTCATGGTTTGACACTGCCCAATGCCAGGCACCCAGAGGAGTTGCTCATTTACCCTTCCCTTCCACAGCTGGGCAGAGGAGAGAAAAAAATTACTGAAGGGTTCATGACTTGAGATTAGGACTGGGAGAAAACACTTTAAGGGCAAAACAGGCTCAACTTAAAGTTGCAAAGTGAATTTATTACTAGCAGAATCTGAAGAGGATAATGAGAAGTAAAATAAGCCTTTAAAGCACCTTTTTCCCCTCAGCCCCTCCCTCCTTCCCACCAACAGCACAGGGAGACAGGGCATGGGGGTTTTGGGCAGTTGGTCACCTAACATTTTCTTCCACTGCTGTCCTCCTCCTGTGAGACCATGGGGTCCTTACCATGGTAGACAGTTCTCCATGAACTCCTCTGGCATGGGTCCACTCAGACAAGCAGCAGTCCTCCCAAAACTGCTGCAATGTGAATTCCCCCCACAGGCAAACAGCCCTCCCAAAACTGCTGAGCCATGAGTCTCTCTTTCCACGGGGTACAGTCCTCCAAGGACAGGCTGCTCCAGCCTGGAAGCATGGTCCTCTCTCTCCACTGGGTCTTCCACTGGATCACAGCCTCCTTCAGACACCCACCCACTCCTGTGTGGGCTCCTGCAGGGGCTGGATCTCTGCATCCCCCTGGATCCCCGTGGGCTGTGGGTGGATCTCTGCATCCCCCTGGATCCCCAGGGGCTGTGGGTGGATCTCTGCATCCCTGTGGATCCCCAGGGGCTGTGGGTGGATCTCTGCATCCCCCCTGGATCCCCAGGGGCTGCAGGGGTACAGCTGTTTCACCATGGTCATCACCACGGCCTGCAGAGGAATTTTGGCTCCGGTGCCTGGAGCAGCTCCTCCTTCTCCACTGCCCTTGGTGTCCCCATGTTGTTTCCCTCTCATGTTCTCAGCTCCTCTTCTTCTCTGACAAGAAAAAAGCTGCACATTCCCACTTAGTTTTGACTTTCTCCTTAAATCTGTTGTCACAGAGGCATTACCACCTGCTCTAACTGGCCCAGCTGTGGCCAGCAGCGTGTCCATCTTCAGGGCAATGAGGGGTTGGCTCTACAGAAATGGTGGAAGCTTCCAGCAGCTTCTCACAGAGGCCACCTCTGGCCCCCTGCTACCAAAAACCAGGTTGTGCATAACACACAAGCTTACACTGTTGCCCACATTAAAATCCTTTCTGGAAGTGTTCATCTATCTTGATCCTAAATTTCATAGTTTTAAGTGATGTTAAAGTGATGTTTTCAACTTGATGCTGAGAAGCTGTTTCATCTCAAGCTCAAGCATTTTATTGTACTTCATGTTTATGATTTGTATTCAGTCATTAGAACTTAATAATTGAGTGATGAGCTATCTGTGTCTGTACTGTGCCCAAGAACAGGAATCTAACACAGCTCATGTGAATAGAAGTATAACATCTCTGGATCTGAGGTGTTGGTCCCACAGCCTGTCAGGGAAGGGTTGTTTATCCAGTGCTCCTTGATGAAGTTCAGTGTGTGCAGGATGACTTAGTTCTGGACAGCCTCTCCTTGGCATTAATTGTGGTAATGATAAACACATCTCCCAGCAAGCTGACATTGTTCCACTCTTGTGTATGTGATGGCTGTGCTGAAGTTCAAATCCAGAGCTTTAGTGACTTCAACCAAAGGGGCTGACAGCCAGGAGCCAGCTAACTCTAAATGAGATGTGCAATCTGTCTGTGACCTTGAGTCTCTTAGCAGCTCTGTTTCTCCCTTGTGCCAGCTGGAAAATCAGCAGAAACTCAGCACCTAATTTACAATTTCTTTCACAGAGAAGCCCACAGCTGCTCTGCTGTGACTGTGTTTTATTTTGCACAGTTGCACATTGGCAAAATCTGCAGGAGTTTCCAAGCTGTTGGTGCCATGTTGGGGTCATGCTGGATTTCCTTCATGCTGTGCAATGGTGGCTCTGGATGGGGGAATTTCCCACAATGGAAATTTTCAGGAGCAATTGCAGAATTTCCCTGGGATGCTCTTCAATGTTTAAGCAACTTGGATAATAATTTTGATACAGGAGCTTCTCAGTGCTCTCACCTGATCACTGCCACACCAGTGTGCACATGGGTCTGGAGCTCCAGACTACCCCAAGCCTCTTGTGTTCGTTTTGGTGTTAAATGTTCAAGGTGCTGTGAAACACCAGTGTTCTGCTCTGATGGAGAAGGGAGGGTGGAAGGGGCACAGCAGTGAGGGTAAAGGAAAGGAGATCCCAGGCAAATTCACTTGTGGAATATTTGCTTGAACTGTGCAAGAACTACTCTGAAAGAATGCATTTGGGGTTGTTTAATCCAAATGGGGGTTGTTTAGCACACAGATTTTACCTCTGGCAATGTCACAAATGGCAATGTCACTGCTGCTTCCCTGGCAGTCCTGTTGTTCTCTCTGTGGAGCACCTCACATTGGCCTTGTGCTCTCAGAGAGCCAAGCTCAAGCTGCAGTTCCCAAATGTCCCTGTCCTGGCAGGTGCTGTGCTTGTCCCCTGGCACAGGGACAGCAGTTCCAGTGACACTATTGGTGTGCTCAGTGCCTGAGCCAATCCAGCCTCCCTCCTGTGCTAGAGCAGGAGTTCAGGCTGGGTCACCAATGCCAGATGAGAAATCAAGGTGTTCTCCCAGTTCAGGACATGCTGAAAGGGTTCCTTATCAGTTTGACGTGTTCCAGCAGGTTTTACATCAATGCCACTTTTCACTCATTGCCCTTTCCATTAGTTTCAAGCACATCAAGTGGGATGTTGCTCTGGTTAATAAATGAGTCCAGAAGCTCCTGGCTGTTAGGGAGCCAGGCTGCCCACTTGGTGCCTAACAGGGGGGAAACTGCTTTGTCAGGAAGTCATTCCTGATGGGCAGAGATCAATCCTCCTGCTTTCCTCAGGCTCCTGATCCAGGCTGGATTTAATTTGAACGTCCAGGATAATGATGGCTGGACTCCACTCCATGCTGCTGCTCACTGGGGAGTGAAGGAAGCGTGTTCCATCCTGGCTGAGGCTCTGTGTGACATGGACATCAGGAACAAGCTGGTCAGTACACAACTAATGCAGGGCATTCTATAGCCAGATTAATATCAACTGTTGCCTGCTGCATGGTCATGGAATCATAGAACCCCAGAGAGGTTTGGATTCAGAGGAACCTTAAAGCTCATCTCATTCCACCCCCTGCCAAGGGCAGGACACCTTCCACCAGCCCAGGTTGCTCCAAGCCCCATCCAACCTGGCCTTGGACACTGCCAGCAGTGTGGAGGTGTGGAGCAGCTGCAGCTGCTCTGAGTAACCTGTGCCAGGGCATCACCACCCTCACAGCCAAAAAGTCCTTCCCAATATCCCATCTATCCCTGCCCTCTGACACTGGGAAACCATTCCCCCTTGTCCTGTCCCAGGTCCCTCTCCAGCTCTCCTGGAGCCCCTTTAGGCACTGCAAGGGGCTCTGAGCTCTCCCTGGAGCTGTCTCTTCTCCAGGTGAACACCCCCAGCTCTCCCAGCCTGGCTCCAGCCCTGGCTTCAATTTTAGTGGCCTCCTCTGGATTCTTTCCAGCAGGTCCATGTCTGTCCTGAGATGGGAGCTCCAGAGCTGGACACAGAGATCCAGGTGGGATCTCATAAGAGATCCAACATCATGATCCAACTACATGACAAAGTCATAGCAGTTCTCCTTGCCTGTGCACTGGATAATTTAAATACATCAGTAAATGAAGAAACTTGACTGGCAGAAGGCAGAAAAGATTTCAAATATTATGGGAAATGTGACCTGATTAAACTTCAAGACTGAGCTTTTAAGGAGGGCTGGTGTGTGCCATGCTGAGTTAGTGTAACCCTGAGAAATCAAATGGCAGCAAAGAAACAGTCTTGGAGTGCAAAATATACTAATATTAAGGTATAAGGCACTGAAAAGAAGTGAAACCATGAGAAACTGGCAGCTTTAAATCCTCTCTGTTCTATGTATTGGTAAAAAAAAAGGAAATTGAAGATTTGTGAGACATGAGTGAAGAAAAATAGGATGAAAGAAAAGGAGCAAAAACATTTCTCTTCCTTTCCAATAGTTCCAGGTTTTTCCTTGAAGAGCCCTTGGATTTTCAAGGGCTTGTCCAGGGCTGCTCTTGGTGTTCCCATCCCTGCTGTCCACACTGGTCTGTGAGGTGTTTCCCACTGGACAATTGTGCAGGCTCTGGGGGAGGAGAGAAGGTTGGATGTGCTTGGAGGAGCACCAGGGGATGAAGGCAGGAGGCTGTGATAAGAGAGGGCCCTGTGTGTTCAGGTGTATCCAGCTGTGCTGGAAACTGCTGGAACACAAATGCCCCATGAGGAGGAGTCCTTTCAACCTGGTGAGCTCTTTGGCACCCAAAATATGGGGAATCTTTTCTGTTTAAATGCCATCAGGTGTTTTTCCAAAGTGTTTGGGATGTGTATGGTGTCTTGTATCATGCCATACTTGAAAAGGAACAGTTGCAGTTGTATTTGCTGCATTACCTGCTCCTTCCAATCCAGAACTGTCTCTTTATTAGGTCAGATGGACGAGGCTACCTTTTGTTTTTTGACCTGCAGCCATCAGGTTTCAGATTGTTAATGAAATGGCATTTAGATCTTTAATTATGGTGAAAATGTAACCAATTTCTTGGTTTGAGCCCTAGAGTATTTTTTCTGGCTTGTTTTACTTTATAAATGCCCATGGATGTGGAAATGGATCCCAAATTTTTTGGCTTGCTGCCAGCCTTTCAGACCGGTTACATACATGATGATAAAGTAACACAGAATCAGGAATATCCTGAGCTGGAAGGGATCCACAAGGACCATCCAGTCCAACCCCTGCCCTGCACAGACACCCCAACAATCCCACCCTGTGCATCCCTGAGAACCAAACACTCCTGGAGCTCTGGCAGCCTCGGGGCTGTGCCCATTCCCTGGGGAGCCTGGGCAGTGCCAGCACCCTCAGGGGGAAGAACCTTTCCCTGGTATCCAACATAAGAAGAGGTTGATCACACACCCTCTCAGTACAAGAGTGTCCTTTTTAGAATCTTGGAAACTCAAGCATAGTCCTGGCTGTTGAATTTGAGCAGCAGCAACCAGGGAGCTGCATTGCCCTGGTAAAAGTTGCTCAGTGAACATAAACATGGTCTTAGAGATCTTTTTTGAGATGATTCTGTGATTCCATGATCACTGTCACATGGGTTTCCTTGCTCTCAAGTGAAGCAGTGTCACTTACCATCTGGGGAGGGAGGATGTGGAGCATATGCTCTGGTAAATAGCATTTTCTGGAATATTACCACTGTGCCATCTCAGATATCCTCTTGTGTTCTCCCATTGCACCAGGGCCAGACGCCCTTTGATGTTGCTGACGAGGGACTTGTGGAGCATTTAGAAATGCTGCAGAAGAAGCAGACTGTGGTGAGTTTCTGGAGATCATTTTCCACCTCTCCAATTACCATTTCACACACAGGTGTTCTCCAAGACATCTGGTGCCAACAGATGCAGGAAGCTGAGGCCCAGCTATTTTCTTGAGTTACTCATTTGCAGTATTTAAGCACAGCAATATTTTTAATAGTTATAAATCTGGATGACTGCAGCAAGGAGGTCAGCAGTGTGATGGCATGCAGACTTATGGGGACTGGTAAGGAATTTGTGTTCATCTTTGTTGTTACCCTGCAGGTGCTTTGTTGGCTGGCAGGCTCTCTAGCATCAAACTGCTCTGTTCCTACTGAGTGCTTACCCAGGTCAGCTTTGTGTTTGCATCCAGAGAAACACACTGTCAGTGCTGAGAAAGAGATCTGTTACCATCTCTGCCTTTCTTACAACTGGGAGGCTTTGGATTGAGGAAGAAGAAATTATAAACTTCAGGGAATTCTAGACTGAAAAAATAGGTGGTTTCAAAACCATATTAAATTGCCATTTCATAGTGCAGTGGAGGTACTGGAAGAGATTATAAAACAAAAGTTGACATAAAGGAAAGCAAAATATATCTTGTTCAAAGTAAGGGCAGTTGTCAAGCCAGAAAGTTGGGTTTGGATTGAATTTTTTCCTAATTCATCTGGTCTGCTCAATTATCTCATTTGGGTGCTTCCAAAAAACAAGCCAAAAAGAATTCAAAATGAATTAAAAATCTGTAAGTGTCACTTATAACTTTGGGTACAGAAACAGACAGAATGGGAACACTGTTGATAAACCCCAGGAAAGTATTTTCAGGAACTGCCAGTGTGGGTGGTTAGAACTCCAGCTCAGATCACAACACAGCTGCTGCCATCCTCAAATAGCAGCTTTAGTATTCAGGAACTTCTTAAAAATTAATCAGCTTCTCCCTAAATGTCATGTTGATAAATACTATCAGGGTTGTATTTTGGATTCCCCTCTCTCTCACTACTGAGGATTTTGCAGATAACTGCACTTCTTAAAAGAAAAGAAAAAGAAGACTTTTTTGGGGTGACTGCTCACCCATTTTTAGGGCTGCTTTTAGGGCTAAACCCCCCTGTTCTCTATATAGAAGCCCTATATAAAGGCCTTCTCCATTTATTCAGTGTCAAACTGGGCAGAAGAATCCAGATTTTATCACACTTTTTTTTTTTTTTAGTGGACATGATTTTTTAGTGGAAAAGACAATTTAACATCTGTTTATCATGTGCCATTTTTATCACTTAAAAATAGGAAACTTATATTTGTTAAGGATAAAACAGGCAGTTTCATGACATTATTTCTCTTCCAAAATGGCTTTCAAATCAGGTATTTTTTTCAGTCTAAAGCAGAGCACTGTGCCACCCTTGCTAAAAGATCTGATGCTGTTATTGGAAAGCAGGGGGGATTTTTGTTTGCTGGAAGCAATTCATTTGGTTTGGGTTTGGAATTTTTTCCCAGTTACTGAATTATCTGTGAATGGAGCAGGCTTTTTCCTGCACTTCTTTTTGCTGTGCTCCAGCAGTTTGATCAGTTTAACAATGTTGTACCCCAAATTTTTGCTCTTCACTGGAATCCACGCAGCTTTTCCCACTTCACAGGGTGCCCAGAGCAGCTGTGGCTGCCCCATGCCTGGAAGTGTCCAAGGCCAGGTTGGATGGGGCTTGGAGCAACCTGGGCTGGTGGAAGATGTCCCTGCTCAAGGCAGGGGCTGGGACTGAATGAGCTTTAAGGTCCTTTCCAACCCAGGTAATTCTGGGATTCTGTGATGCACAGTTTACAGCGCTTTTACTTCCTTTGCCTGTTGTCAACTGCTGTCAAAAGAAAAAGAATAACTTGGTGAGTTATGACACAACAGAGTCAACCTTAAATTGACCCCCTAACTCACATCCATACTTCTGCCTCAGCTGTTTTTGTGCTTCTGGAAGGTACAAAACAATTTTTGGGTGCACTGATGGTGGTAAAATTAATATTGCTGCTCCCTAGACAAAATATTTCAATTTCTGTGTGACCCTAGGTATTCCTGTGCAATGACTTTGTGCATTTGAGAGATTTAAGAAGTGACCCATCCTTCCATGAGTTCCCTGGTTGCCTGTACAGGGCTGGCTTGAATGCTTTCCTCTGAAAGCCAGTAAAAATAGCCACAAAGGCAGCAGATTTGAAGCTGAATCTATCCTGATTTCATGGGCACACACACATGTGGACAGACCTCCACAGAATCCAGAATGGTTTGGGCTGGAAGTGACCTTAAAGCTCATCCAGTCCCACCCCCTGCCATGGGCAGGGTCACCTCCCACTGTCCCAGGTTGCTCCAAGCTCCGTGTCCCTGGCCTTGGGCACTTCCAGGGCCAGGGGAGCCACCAGGACCTCTCTGGGCAGCAGTCAGTGTTCATCCCTGGTCTCAGCAGGGGCAGCTGCAGGTGCCTTTGAGGGTTTTATTGAGTGGCAGCAGCGTTCCAAGGACATGCTGGGTGCTGTGTCCTGCTGGAGCTCCAGTCCAAGGCTCACAGTGCCCTTGGGGATGTGCTGCTGTTCAAGTGGCTTCTAACACAAATCTGCAGTGGTTTAGTCTCACTAGGCTGGGCTGACCTTGTTCTGTGCTGCTGACTAGGTTATGCTGATGGGGCTGGTTAATGTCTGTCCTCATTTTCTCTCTCCCATCTTCCTGGACTTTCTAACAGCTGCGAAGTGAGAAGGAGACAAGGAATAAGCTGATTGAAGCTGACATGAATGGGAAGCCTCAAAACAGATTCTTCACCAAGTAAGTCTCTCCATTTTAGCTGAAAAGAAATTGCCCAGAAAGTAATGGGAGAGCAGCTTCATCTCTCACACCCAGCTGGCCTCAGCTGGGTCAAAAACAATTCACAGTCTTTTATTTCATGCATTTTTTTTAAATCTCAGTACTCTCAGATACAGTTTTAGTTGTGTCTTAACATACCCAGTGAGGGGTGAACAAGGGCTTTGGGCTGGGGTTTGGTTCTCCAGCTCCTGCTCTGAGGGTTGATCAGATCTTTGGGCTGAGAACTGCACCTCTGTAGGCACAGAGCCCTACAGCCCAACTGCTGCATTGTGTGGCACTAGAAAAGGAGAGATTACATTTTTGTGGATGGAAAAGTGCTTGCAGAATTAGAAAATGTGAGACTGGCAGTGGAATCCGTGGCAAATTGGCCATGATGGAAGTGCTGGAGTGTTCAATCTGTAGATAGATTTTATCCTTTGCTTGTTCTGTATGTAGTAAATCATGTCTGTGTACTCCTGAGAAGTACAGCTTAGATAACCTGCTTGCCTAAAAATTTCCTATTCTGCAGCAAAGAGAAGATTCTTTATGAGGAAGACACAATGAAGTCCGTGGAAACTGAGGAAGAGAACAAGGACTCAAGCAGTTCTAGTTCTGAAGAGGAAGAAGCTGAAGATGAAGTTTCAGAATCAGATGCTGAAAAGGAGTCAGGTAAGACTTACTACAGCCTTGGATTTAATAACTAGCCTAGCTGTTATCATTATTAATGTTGTTGTTGTTATTAATTAAATAACTAGATGTTAAGGGCATGCTGAAAGTTTTACTTCCAGTGTACAGAATTTGGAGAAATCTGGAGCTATGGTGATAAAAGAGCTGATTCAAATGCTGACTCCCAGGTCAGCAAAATTATTTAAAAAAAAATAAATCCTTCAGATCCTATTTTAATTCATACTTCCAGCTCACATGTATTGAAGATAACACATTTTCCATAGCTTGTTCTTAAACAGGGTTTTTTTCTTGGCCCAATTCAAGAAGAATCCTTCAGGTACTGCAGGATGGTAGGGAAGCAGGTGAAGGTGTAGGAAGACAATAGCCTATTGTGTTTGGATCAGTCTGAAGTGAAGGGCTGAAGCTGTTCTGGGTAATCACAGAGGTGAGGAACTTCTGGACTGTGATGAATAATGATTTCAAAAAATAGTGGAAAATCAGGATTAAATACACAGAGTCACAGTAGCATTTACAGCAATATGTATATTGCTGGAATCTTACTCTCATTCCTTTTCCATAATTTCTGTGGCTTCCTTAATTAGTTTTAGAAGTGTTTATGTGCAGCACAGAAAGTTTAATACAGATACTTTATTTTACAGTAAGCCAAGACTTACTTGTACTTAATATTATAAACACAAATGGATCTTGGACTATGATGTGTTTAATGATTAAACTACTTTTAACATCAACTTACTTGGTCTATATCCAGTATACTAAGAAATAGGCCCTGAGAAGTGTAGTTTAAAGTTTTGTTGTGCTTCTGTGCCCATGGAATTGTCACCTGTGTCAGGATTGTATCAGTTAATGCTGTTTGGGGCAGGGTGAGAGGGGTGGAAAATCCTGGCTGGGCTCTGCAGAGATGCTGCACTAGCTGGGTGGGCATGGCAGTCACACAGGGAAATGATCTTGGGGTTTTAAATCAAACAAGTCTAGTGGACATGTCAGTAGTAGAAAGTGACACACAGTACAGGTCATATATATTCTCTCCATAAATCAGATTATATACATATTTATGTAAATACAAATTATACCTATCTAGCTTGGTGCCAGTGCTTGTAATCCTTGTAAAGATGATGGTAATTTGACCAAAACAACTCAAATGTTTGCACACCTATAAGACCTGGAGCTGTGTGGGGTTTAACTGAGTCAGGAACAGCCTAAGATCCTTCAGCAAGGAAAGGTCTACAGTATTCATCATTAAATTTTGTGTTAAAGGTCTTTTTATTGCATTAATTCACTGACCAAAGGACATTATAGGTGTCTGTGTGAAACCACTGAAGCTAATAGATATTTGAGACAACAATCATTTAGGTAATGATTCAGCTTCAGGCTTTGTTACCTCTACTCTCCTTTCCCAAGAAGATTATTGGGTCCTTTGAGAAATTTCCGTCAGAATTGAAGCCCCACCTTGTAAAGTTCTGAAATCCCTGGTAAAATGAGTGTGGACTTGGCCAGCTGGATGGAGACAGAGCTATCACCTGCTGCATATGTGAGTGGGGGGTCACACCTTTGGTCCTCTTTTTAAAGCAGGATTCTGTAAGATAACAGCATCAGCCCACATTATAGGAGGACTCCAAAGAGAAGTAGGGTTTTTCATTTTGGTAATGAAAATAGTAAATGTCACAGTATTACTGATTTCAGAGACAGTGGTACTCCTGGGCTGATCCCCCAGCATGGGCAGCAGGGCAGGGGGGATTCTGCCCCTGTGCCCCACTCAGGTGAGACCCCACCTGCAGAGCTGCCTCCAGCCCTGGCCTTCCAGCACAGGAAGGACGTGGAGCTGCTGGAGAGAGTCCAGGGGAGGTACCAGGATATTCAGAGGGACAGAGCAGCCTCTGCTGTGAGGAAAGGCTGGGAGAACTGGGATTGCTCAGTCTGGAAAAGAGAAGCTTTGGGGTGAGCTCACTGTGACCTCCCAGGGCCTGAAGGGAACCTGCAAGGAAGCTGAAGAGAGATTGTTCACAAGGGCCTGGAGTGACAGAACAAAGGGAATGGCTTCAAACTGACAGAGAGTAAGTTTAGATGGGATATTAGGAAAAAATTCCTCCCTGTGAGGGTAGGGAGGCCCTGGCACAGGTACCCAGAGAAGCCGTGGCTGTCCCATCCCTGGAACTGCCCAAGGCCAGGTTGGACAGGGCTTGGAGTAACGTGGGATAGTGGAAGGTGTCCCTGCCCATGGCAGGGGGTGGAATGAGATGGGCTTTAAGGTTCCTTGCAGTTCAAACCAATCTGGGATTCTTTGGCTCTATGTTTATCTGGTCAACATTTTACATGCTACGTTTTACAGGAGACATTGGTATGAAAACATGAATATTTTTCCCTTACTCATCTTCATTTTCTGTAATATTCCCATACCTTTATCATTCTGAGCAGTGCTGGACATACAGATTATGACTGGTGTTCTAAAGTGTTCAAAGTCCAGATTAAAAAAAAACAACTGAGTGATCTTTTTAAACCTAAAAATTCCAATCCCTTTAGTAGCTGAGCATAAAGCAGGACATGCAGAAGCTGACAGTGTAACACACAAGTTTATTTTGAGGTGTGTTTAGAAGAGTCTCAGGTTGTGATTAATTTGTTGAATTTGCAGAGACTGTGGGAGGAAGAAATCGGATGAGGGAAGCAGTGGAATTGTTGGAGGGCTTCAGAGTAGTATGTTTCTTATAATCTGTAAGAAATTTGCGTTCTTCAGACAAAGGAAGCTAAGAGCATTAAAGTCACTTCATTCATTTTGAATACAATTAATTTGGCATTGACCTCTTGTAAACAAGAGAAAGATCAGTATAAAATTCTATGATTATCTGTTCTAGGAACTATTACAATATGAAATTATTGGGAATTATAGCAGGCCATGGAAGCTTTTAGTGTTGTTTTGTTTAAAAATCAACCAAACAAAAACTCTTATCCAAAAACCCTTACAAAAAAGAAATTAGAAACCTAAATTTTTACTCTTAGCAAATTTGTTTTGTGGAGATTGAACTAATCCTCTCCAGTTTTTCTTGTCTGGAATTCATAATGTTTATTGCTGAAATTTTGGTAGCATAAAATGTGGGATCCTGCCGAAAGCCAACACTGCCAGCGGAGTCCCTCTGCCTGTCCCTCTTCCCCAGTCACCCCTCCCCATCACATTGCTGACAGCCAGTCCTTCCCAAGCTGTCATTACCACTTCAGCTTGTGCCCTTCTAATTAGGTTTCACCTTAAAAGCTGACCTGTGTGCTATGAACTTCCAGAGGAGGCTCCCAGTGCCCATCCAGCCCTTGCTGCAGTGCCCTGTGCTTTACAGGCCTGTCACAGGAGTGAGCAGCTGGCAGCACATGGCAGTGTGTCCTTCCTTGTCCATGGGCATTTCCAGGGACTGTGGCAGGCTGGGCCTGCAAGGAGGAATGGAGGATCTATTTCCCCTTCCCCAGGGTGGGTGAAACTGCACCTGAGGGTTCTTCAGATTTCAGAACTGAAAACTGCTGCTTTGCAGAGAGGGAAAAGTGGCTGAGAATCCATTCTCATGCAGACCCAAGGGAAGGGCTGGAGCTGTGCCAGGGCAGGCTCAGGCTGGAGATCAGGGAAAGGTTCTTCCCCCTGAGGGTGCTGGCACTGCCCAGGCTCCCCAGGGAATGGGCACAGCCCCGAGGCTGCCAGAGCTCCAGGAGTGTTTGGACACAGCTCTCAGGGGTGAACAGGGTGGGATTATTGGGGTGTTTGTGCAGGACAGGGATTGGACTCAGTGATCTGTGTGTGTGTCCTTTCAGCTCAGGAGGCTGCACGATTCTTTCTTTGTATCTTTAGTTCAGGCTCTGTCAGTCCTGCTAACTCCCTGTTATTTTAAGATGTTTCTCTTGGCTTGCTCTTTTCTGTGTCCTTTGAATCCTTATTTTCCTAGTACTGAGGATATTTATTACAGAAGGATTGATCTTCATGCTCCAAGGTGCCATCCTCCCAGATGCTCCATCCCAAACTGCTCCAAATGTGTAACAGCAGATTTTTATTCCCTGCACATACGTTATGTGCTAGAATTGTTTGTGTGCTTGTGCTTAAAATGACTTTATTTTTTCCAAGACATGACTGTGTGAGCATTCATAGCTATAAGGAAAGCTTTGATTGGTGGGTGTAAGTACATCATCTCTCAGGCAGGTTCCATGTGCCTGGGTTGATGGTGAATAGTCTGTCTGCAGCCTGTGCTTTCCTGTCAAGTGAACCTATTGCCTGAGTCACACTTTCTGCTTGCTCTCCTCCTGGTAATGTAGTGGATGTTCTTCTGTCAAGCATGTGCACAGATACAAAAAAATAAATGTGATACTGGACAGCTGCACTTGCATAACAAGCAGGGAGCTTGGGCAAGGGTTGCTTAGCTTGCTTGGAGTCCATTAAGGGCTTTTGATGGTCAGTAGTCCTGGCTTCCTGTAGAAAAATGGATTTTGCTGCAGAAGACCAGAAATTCTGTCCAACCAGTGCAGAGAGCTGTACAGTGAAACCCAGCACTGGGCACTAAGGGCCATGGGCTGTACCACACTTGTGCTGCAGCAGGAACAGCATGTGCCACTTTCCATCCCAAGATTTACCAGGGAAGAAATTCCCAGACATGAAACAAAACTGTGAAAAACGAAAAACCTGTGGTCCTCATTATGGTGCTTTCTGCAAAGATTTTGCTTGTCTGTGAGGGTCAAGTACAAAAGCTTTGCCTGGCAAATGTTTCCATCCTATTCTTTAGGAAGTGGGAAGCTCCTTTGCAGAAAGCCCTGACACCTGACAGTGCAGAAGGCACTGACATCCCTGTGATCCAAGGAGACAGCACTGAACTGGAGTGCAGACCACACTCTGTGTAGAGGAGGGCCTCAGAAGTGCAATACTGAAACATTTGGTTTCTCTTCTTGTTTAAAATTGTAGAGAGAAAGGAAGAGCCCTTTGCCAACCACTCCAGCCGTGAATCCAGGCCCAGCATCACTGAGCAAATGCCACCACCTGAGCCAAACTCCTTCACTGCGTCTGCCAGAAGAGTAAGTGAATTTGGAATCAATGGGGACTCCAGCAGTGCTCAGAAGCTGAAGGTGTTACTGGGAGATGGATGCTCTGAAACCAGTCTTCAGAGGACTTTGACTTGAATTTAGAAAAGCCTGGTAGTACGAAATTCTGATAAAGATGTGTGTTAACAGCAGTGTAGGGACAATATGGTTCTTCCTGAATCTCTGATCCTCCAGAGCAAATTGTGGTGAAGAAACCCAGCTTACAGCACATGCTCTGTGTGCTGTCAGTTCTGGAGGGGCTAGTGCCAGTGTGTTCTCAACACATCTGTCACCAGAGCTGATTCCTGCCTGTGTGCCTGTGGTGAGTTTGGCACCATCATCCAAAGTGCCTCTGACTTGCCAAAGCCAGTTGAGTCAGTGGTATGATGTTAGCACCAGCAAGCAGAGGGTAGTTTGCATGTGGCTGGCTGGGCTGAAAGCCGAGGTGAAGTGGTGAATGAAATCTTGTGTGAATCCTCCTGCTCTCAGATCACTCAGCTAGATGGCACCAGGAGACTCTGCTCTGCACAGGACTCCTGTCGTGTGCCACTGCTTTCTTTTTGCACCAGACTATGGAGAAAACAGCACAGACACCTGGCCCAGGGCTGAAGCACTCAGTGCTTGTCAGAGGGAAATGTTTTCTGCTTAGGCACAATTTTTTGTTTTTGGCATGTAACTGAGTGTAACCAAGATCAAATGAAACAGAGCTCCTCTGGGCATTGTTCAGCTCAGGCTGGCTTAGCAGGGGAACTGTTAGAGGTAGAAGGATGCTGGGAAGTGTGAGCACTTCAGTTAACCTTTTCCCAGCTGCACAGGTTTGGTCTCACTCCTTTAACACAGAATAAGGGTGTTAGGATGTAGAAGCTGGCCTGTGAGCAGAGCAGTTACTGATTTCACCTCAGTCACCTAAGATCAGCTTCTTTACCTTCTCTCACCCGTTTGATTTTTCTGCAATTGTCTTTGACAGACTTGGCTTTAGAATGTGTTGCCTTCTATTAGGGGAGTTATTAGTATGTGCTGTTCCTGCATTGTTCAGAATTTACAGATGGCAGCTTTTGCTGTGGTTTTGAGCATTCTCTGAGGAAAGCATCAGAATGACATGAAAATGTTAGAGCAGTGTAGCTCAGTAGATTGGCAGTGCTGGAAGTGGTGGAGTACAGATTAACTCTTTGCATCCTCATTGAAATGACATGAGCTGAAAACATTGCTCAGATACTGCAGGGATAATTTTAGCTTGGCAGTCTTCAGACAGTGAGTCTGAGGGCAGAGCTCCCCAGTAGCTCCATTTATTCTGAATAGTGTCAGATGGTTTGTGTCAGATAGAATATGATACAATAATGCTTAGATCAGCTTTGATCAAAAGCCTTGTCTGCCCAGTGTCCTGCCCAACAGTGACTGTCAGAAGCTACTGGAGAACACAATCTTGCAGGAATTCCCTCCCACATTCCAGCAATTGGCATTCAGGGACTCACTGAACCTGGTGTATTTTTGTCTTCAGTAGCTCCTGTTGGGCTTTTCCTCTCTGCAGTCACTTTTTGATAGGGATCCTCTAATGTCCAATGGTAAAAAGAATCCTTCAGCTTAGTTAAAAACTCTGCAAAGCTCCCTGTCCCATTAACCTACCACACACTGGGTTTGTTTGCTGTCCCTTGTTCCTTTATGGGAAGGACCAAGAAATAATTGTTCCTTACTCACCCTTCTGTGTGCCACTGAGGGTTTCATGTACTTGGTCACATCTCAGCCTGGAGACTACTAATATACTGAATATCTCCTCATGCAAAACCTCTCTTGCTCTACTCATCCTTCCTGCCTTTCCCTGAGCTCTTCCCTTCTTGTCAACTGCTGCTGAGCCCTGGAGCTGAGCTGTGTGTGGTACCAAAGGTGTAATTGTACCCTGCAGTGACACAGAGCCACACAGTGGTTGTGTGTTTTGTATCCTGTACCTTTCCAATAATTCCTAATAATTTGTTTGCTTTATTTCCTGTACAACTTGGTGCTTAGCCCTCTACAAGTGGCTTTTGTGATGCTCAGGCTCCATTCTTGAATGGCAGTGGGCAGCCTTTTGGAAGACTTGATAACTGTAGCTAAGGTTGCACATTTAAGCAGTTGCACATTTAAGCAGTTGCACATTTAAGTAGTTGTATAAGTTGTATAAGTTATATAAGGACTAATTTTTGCAGCTCAGAAATGCCTCATATTCCATAAAGCACAATTCTGTGGTATGCACAGTTACCTGCCCATGGAAGGGGCCTCTGTGAGGCTGAAGTCCAACACCCTGCTCAAAGCAGAATTAAGCTCATGTCATGTTGCTTTGTCCTACCTCAGCTGAGTACTGAAAGGTCTCTGAGGATGGAGATGCTCTGCTCCCTTGCTCCCTGTCCCAGTGCAGCTTTGCTTCTGCCAGGAGTTGTGTCTCCATATCAGCTGGGATTTCCCAAGTGGAGACTTGTCTGTTCTCCTTTCACTGTAGACAGGTCTGGTTCCATGTGCTCTGTAAACCCACTCCCAAGTAGCAGAGCAACTAAATTCCGTCTTTGCCTTCTCTTTTCCATGCTCAACAATCCAGGTTTCCTCAGTCTCTTCCTTTACAGTGTTGTTGGCTGCAGCTCCCTGGTGATCTCAATGGCTTCTCCTGGACTCCACTGGTGTGAGGGGTTTGTTTTGCAGCTAGTTCTGTAAGACCCGAGTCCTTGTTTCTGCTTTCCTGCCTTTTTATGAATAATTCCCCCTTCCTAAATGAGTGATAATAAATAAATGAGTGATAATAAAAGCTTTATTGTTCCTTATATTCTTTCCTCAAAGCTGGAGGAGGGCATTGTGTAGGCAAAGACCTGCACAGTGACAGAAGATCCCTTTCATCCTCTGTCCTTGGGGATGAGGCACTACAGCAGTTTGCACCCCTGTGAGTTCACCTTGAGCTCTGGCCTGTAATTAAAGTGAAACAGGAAATAAGTCATTCTGTCATACAAGTCTAGTCCAGTAAAAACTGGGGCTTTCTGAAACACTTTCTGAACTTAGAGTGTGCCTTGCAGTGCTGTTCCTTTTTCCAAACTGTTCCAAACTGTTTCTCCTCCACAGTTCAGTTGGCTCAGCAAGTCAGATGAGCAGAAGGATGAATCACCTTCATCCTGGAGGCTGGGCCTGAGGAAGACTGGCAGCCACAACATGTTGAGTGAAGTTGCTGCCACTCGTGAGGCACAGAGGGATAAAACTTCTTCCATCTATCGCTCCTCGTCCAGCCCTCGGATATCTGCACTGTTGGACAACAAGGAAAAGGTTTGGCTTTTAGCAAGGATGTTTCAGTGTATCCACTTTACCCCACAGGTGTAAACCCCTTTCCTTTTCAGTTATTGCTGGGGTTTTTATCCATAACAAATGTGGGTCTCTTTCATTCTTACTTTCTTTTTCTTTTAAAAAACATTTCCCTCCTATCAGTTGTTTCTCCAGAACTGGAGTTTGGTGCCCTTTTGGCCTAATTCCTGCTCAGTTTGGACCAGGCTGCCACTGAAAAGGGGCTCTCAGTCTGGCACAAGCCTATTCTTTACCAGAAAATGTCCAATCCAGACATCACCACATACCTGCAGTGGAGATCCTCCTTCCCCATCATTTATATAGATTTCTCCTCTATCCACTGGCTGCATTTGTAAATCCCATCACACCTATTCAGTAACTGTAACTTTTCTGCCCCTGGGTAGATGCCTCATCCCTGGAGGTGATCAAGGTCACCTTGGATGGAACTCTGGTCTAGTGGACTAAAGATACCTTTCAACCCAAACCATTCTCTTATTCTGTGATTGACAAGTTATTCTCTAAGCTAGAGCATGCTTTTATTCACTACCATGGTCATCAGGAAATCCCTTTCAGAACTGATATTTCTGTGCTGTGCTATGTGTTGCCCAAGAAGTTGCCTTAAACCAGCTGGTAGGAGAGTGCTTTCTTAGTTGAAGAAATTTGAACATGAATTTATTTGCCACTGAATGTGCTGGAAGGGTAAGAGATATGTAGCTGAAGTTCTTCTTTTGCTTCACCAGGACAGAGATAACAAGAGTTATCTTGCCACCATAGTCCCCAGAAGACTGAGCAGTACGAGTGATATAGAAGAAAAAGAAAACAGGTGAGCCTGGCTGAAGTTAATGCTCAGCTTCCATCCTGTCAATAGTACTTCTGGAATATAATTTTTCTGCAGTCATGCTTTGTACATTTTCTCAGCAGTCTGCAGTGCACAGGCATTCACAACATCAAGAGCCAGCTCTGTCTATAAAAGTTCTGCTACGTTGGTTTTTATTTAGGTGAGCAGGAGTCAGCAGACTGGTTCCTCCACCCCTGTACTCAAATAGTCACAGGCTCCATCCAGGCAACCAGATTTATGGATCCTTTCTCCTTTTAATATGCAAGTGCCTCATTTTGTAGCTGCCACCTGTACTTCTACTTGTCACTTGCTCAGCAGTCACCTTCAGTCCCTTTGTTCACACCTCTGTTGCTTGAGGTTCACTTGAGCTTGTGAACTTTCCCATGTGGGAACTGTTTCATTGCAGGGCTGTTTTTACAGTCGATGTGTGTAGATGCCCCTGGACAGAACCATGGTGTAAATGGTGTGTGTATATCCAGGATTTCCAGAGGGATTTGAGGAGCTGGTCTACAAGCAGTGTCTTCAGGTGCCTTCCAGTGCTTAAAGGGGCTCCCAGAGAGCTGGAGAGGGACTTTGGGAAAGGGCCAGGAGTGCCAGGACAAGGGGGAATGGCTTCCCACTGTCAGAGGGCAGAGATAGATGGGATAATGGGAAGGAATTCTTGGCTGTGAGGGTGAGGAGGCCCTGGCACAGCGTGCCCAGAGCAGCTGTGGCTGTCCCATCCCTGGAAGTGTCCAAGGCCAGGTTGGATGTGGCTTGAAGCAGCCTGGGAAAGTAGAAGATGTCCCTGCCAGGGCAGGTAGTAGGGCAGGATGAGCTTTAAGGTCTCTTCCAACCCTGGCCATTCTGTGATTCAGTTTGTACTCGAAGGAGTAAAATTTGACCTTAGCCTTATTTCCACCTACTTTCCCAAGAGAGGAGGAAAGGCACATGCAGGGCAGTAGCTTTGAACTGTAATTGTTGGGCAGGAGCTGTGGCAGATGACACCCTGAGAGAATTTGAGCACAGCTTGAGATTCTTTGCTAATCTTTTGCTAGAACCTTCCTGCTGTGTTCTTGTTCATTCTCAGGCAGTCTCTGAGGTCCAGAGCTTTGCAGACAATTTGTGTCTGTTGATCTGCTCAAGAAGGTTTGGCAGAGGCTGCTGTTGAATGGCACAATTAAATTAAATAATAAATTAAATAATAACAATTAAATAATAACAAATAATAACAATTAAATAGGTGCTGACAAGTGTCCTTTTCTGGGTGGAGTGGGGACTGGCCTTCAGGAACAGATGGTGCCCAGGCATGCTGTGTAGTACAGATTTTTTCCCAATATTTTTTCCTTTCAAAACATCTGTGTTTTCCTTTCTGGAGTGCACAGGTGTCCTGAGAGAGCATCAGTCTGGGCATGACAACTGGAAATGAGAATTAATGGCAGGGTGATGGAGGAATGGATTAGTGCTGCATTACAAGCTCCAGGTCCTGTCCAGCATCAGCAGAGAACAGGATACCCTGCCAGAGTGTGCATTAGCATTAGGGAAAGAGCCCTGTGTTCAGATAACCAGGGTAAATAGGACTACTAGGAATTTCTTGATGACTTGTCAAGTAGCTTTAGGTACTGTAAATATTTTGTTTGTCGTTTTCATGATTTTGTGGTGGACCTGGTGTGCTGGGTTGATTGTTGGACTCGATGATCTTAGAGGAGTTTTCCAAGCCAAATGATTTTGTGAAAGGCTTTGCTGTGCTGAATTCCTTTTGTCCTTGCCTGGATACCTTGAAGAATAAAAGCTTCCCTGCAGTTCCAGTATCTGCCCACTCTGACCTTGTTGTTTGATACAAACAGCAGTGAGAGTATTATATGACACTATTTAATATGTTGAATTACTTCTATGGACAAGCTGAATTTCATTTGCAAGTTTTCTGACTAAAAAGGATCTTGTTCCTCATAATGCAAAACATTAGATCATCTGTGATTCTGAATTGAGCTGGCAAGAGCAGGAGTTGATGTGAAGGCCAGAGCAGGTGTTTCTCTGAGCTGTGTCACCTGAACAATGTAGCACATAAAGTAAGGGAAGGATCTGTGCTGTGCAACTGTAAAGGAACCCAAAGCAGACCCCAGAGGTTTTTCTAAGCAAAGGCTGTGTCTGTCCTGCTTTAGAGAATCCGCAGTGAACCTGGTGAGGAGTGGCTCCTACACCCGGCAGCCCTGGAGAGATGAGCCAAAGGGAAACGAAGCTCCCCACTCTGGTGCACCCACTACCTATGTATCCACCTACTTGAAAAGGTATGTCCAGCTCTGGCTTCCATGGCTTCTCAGGCAGTCAGAACCACTCATAACATGTCTCCCAGACCTCAGCCTCCTGCTTGTTGCCTCCTGCATCTTGTAACTGGCCTTGGGACCCTCTTCTGCCGACAGCAGGAAAGAAAAATCTTAACCTTTCATACTTGTCATGCTAAATAGTGTTTTTAAAGGCTATAATTTTTATTAATTTGCAAATTTCTGCACTGAGTTTAAATACTCTTGTTCCCATAATTCAAATGTGATGTGTTCTCTGTTTAATGCTGATGTTATGGTTAGAAAATAAAACCAAAATCAATCATAAAAACTGTTTAATATTATAAAGAGTCCAAAAGTGTTGTTCAGATAGCTCTTGGTGAATAAGTTATAGCTTATCTCTAATTTTGGTTTATATTAGTCAATGTTTGTGGTATCATCAGATCTTGTGCATGATGTACAGCACTTGCTAAGGAGTAAAACTCATGCTTCCACTGTTGTTTTGTAAGGCAGTAAGGAAGGAAGCAGTTTGTTCACAGTGTGAGCAGTGTACAATCTGAGTTGTAGAGGTTGGTAAAGGAGTGTAGTGGTTTAGGTAGAAGCAGGAAGGCAATTCCAGGCAAAACTCCTGTTACTGCAGTGTCCTGGACCCTCCTGGGAGGCAGACCCTTGGTGTCCTTGAGGTGGGACCTAACAGCTCTGTGTGAGTGAGCTGAGACACTGCCCTGCTCTGGTGAGGCAAACAATGCAGTGCTGGGTTTTCATGTGAGCAGGAGCATCAGCAGTGCCAGCACTTCACCTTTATTTCAGCTGGTACTGGAGACCATCAAAACAGCCTGTGATGAACATTTCACACTGCAAAGCCGTTGTGTTTCTGCCTAAGGAAAACAGCAGCAACAGCTTCAGGGTTTAGATTGAGTTTCACCAGATTCTAGACACTAAACTAAGCAACTGTCCTGAAGATGGAACAATTGCTTGAGATACTTGGGAAGAGGCAGTTTGTTGCAGTGTTTATGCTGTAGAGGTAAGTGGTGCTCAAGGATGTGTGTGGCCAGTTGCTGAGCACGTACAGATCCATCGCCACAAAAGGTGAAGCAGCCCCTTCAAGCAGAAGCCTTGTGCTCTGCTGATCCATTCCAGTGACTTCACAGCTGTCCTGGGATGTGATGACAGCCCAGCCTCCATAGCTTGTCTCTCTCTGAAGCTGGTCTGACAAGCTGCAGCTGGTAACATTGGAAAACTTGTACCCCTTACAGCTGGCACACCTGTGCTGCTCCCTGAGCTGAGGGACAGCCCAGTCACCCCCAGGCAATCTTACAAACATTGCTGGTTTATCCCAGCTAATCCTGCACCAGATTTAGTGTTGCAGTCACACTGTTGTACTGTATTTCCTTGGTTGAAGTGTACAGAAAGTGGGGAAGGTTTAGGCTGCAGTGGGATGTCGCTGATACTGAGTTCTTGTCACAAAGGCTGAATTCTGGCCTTTGGTAAGAGAATGATGGGTACACAAGCAGGTACAGAGAGTAGCTTTGTCAGGTAGGAATAAATGTGCTTTTAAAGGAGAGATCAATGGGTTTGCACTTCATATACAAACAGTAAAACCATGCTCAATTAGATCTTTATCCCACAGAGTTTTCTGTAGGAGAGCACAGAGAAATTGAATATGATTGTATTGAACTTTTGATTTCTCCAGCCTTGTACGTCTTCCCCTAAGATGAGGAAAGGAACCTGGTTAGGCATAAATGTTTGTCATTTCTGAGTATCAGCAAAACTCTGAACACAACTCCAAAAGGTGAAAGCTTCTTAGAGAGGAAGAATTTGAGGGAATATGACATGCTTGGATGAGGGATATGACATGTCATGTGGATGTCAGTGAGGGGATGACTGTGTACATCTGCAGCTCCCCTTTGCCTCTGCATTTGACTGATCTCCATAAAGATCACAGATGGAAGGGACCTTAAATCCCATCTCCTTCCACCCCCTGTCCCTGCAGGGACACCTTCCACAAACCTGGCCTTGGACACTTGCAGGGATCCAGGGGCAGCCCCAGCTTCTCTGGGCAGCCTGTGCCAGGAACTCCCCACCCTCACAGGGCACAATTCCTTCCCAATGTCCCATCTATCCCTAGTTATGTTCTTTAAGTGAATGAACAACGGCAGCAGATCATCTTAAGATGGGGGAAAAGCTGCTGTTGTTGTGGGGGATTTTTTGGTTTTGTTTTGTCTTTTTGTTTGGTTTTGTTTAAGAAAAGGGAACAAAATAACTTGCAGCAATGTTACAAGTGTTGGAGCAGATGTTAATGCTCTCTCAGTCATGGTACTGGCAGCTGTCCTGCTTTCTCTGTGTGTTCCACTGGCCCAGAAATCTACAGAACCCTGCTCTAATATCCTGGTGTCCATTTTAGTGCATACTGGCCTTCAAAAATCCAGGTCACTTTGACTGTGAATGAAAGGATGTGGAGGAAAACTGGCAGAGCAGGTTGGATTAGTTCAGCATCCTGCCTTTGACATCAGGCAGAAGTGCTGCCTCCCAGGAAGGGCTCACACCAGAATGAAATCCTTCAGCCACAGTTTCTCCTTCATTTCACATTTATGCAAACACCTCCTTGCTGGTTCTGGTCACATAAAAGCCATTGCAGTGAGCCAGGACAACAGTCCCTGCAGCCCAGACTCTGTTTCTGACAGCAGCTGGTTTTGAAGAAGTTGCAAAAACCAGATAACTTCAGAGCAGTCTTCTACCTCCCACGCTCTCCTTGCTTCCAGGAACCAGGAATTTAGGAGCCAGGGGTTATATTAAACCATTGTTCTTAATACTGTTGACACTGTTCTTAATCACTGTGGCCAACTTCTGTACCCAGATCCTGGTTTGATCTTTGCAATACCCCATGGCAGTATGTTTAAAAAAAATAGTAATGTGCTTTTTGCAAACCTTTTTTATACCACATGTGGATGCTTTTTAGGAGTGTGAAGGTTCTTAAGTTAAATTTTTTAATGCCTTTAAAATATTTCTTTAAAGTCAGAAGTATTTCTTTTTATTGCTTTGAAATGGTGCTTTACATTTCTTTGCTCATTCCCTGATGGTTCTGTTGTGGTGATAATGTTAAAGAATGAGGAGCAGTGTGTCAGTGCCTTTTTTTATTTCTAATGTTGAATTCTTCAGCATAATTTCAGAGCCTTCCCTTTCATAGACTGCTGTGGACACAGTATTCCCTTGCTAACCTTTATATTGCAATTTTCTAGTCCTGTTCAGATCAAATGTGAACAATGGAGTAAATGCCTTGGAGTGCTTCTCACACTGTGCAGTGCCACCCATGCAGGGGGACAGGCTGGGAGGTGGATTCCTGCAGAGCTGCCAGTGCCTTGGCTCCCTTGGGAGCAGGAGTTCATTCCTGGTGCCCCAGCACCACATTTCTCTACCCCTGAGCTGGCACAATGCCATCCCTGTGCTCTGTTCCTCCGTTCCTCCTCCTTCCCTCTTAAATCACTGCTTTCCCAGGCACCTGGTGCTGCTTCCATCCTCCTCACCCATTGCCTTTCCCTTCTGAAAGAATCCTTGTCAGGGCTTTCTTGA